AATGGAGCATCTGTGTGTTGACAGTAACAGCCTGTGAGCCAGAGACACTTGGCCAAGCTCTCCCGCCCACATGGCTGGATTGCACACCTCACCTGCAATAATCCGTGCTTAGTCAGCACTAGCCTGCCCCAGGGCCAAGTGCCCCGCTCCTCCTACCCCTTCCCCAACCTGTCACCTGATTTGAGTCTGAGCAATTTGGCCACATTTATACTAATCCTCACGCAGGATGGTCTCTACTTACCTCCTATCCCACCCACGGAGTGGCTCATAGCCTGACACCAAACAGTAGGCACCAAAGGGTGAGGTACCTACTGCTTAGCTGGGCAGCTGGGTATTTACAAAAGGTTTGCAAAGAGATGCCAGTCTTTTCCTATAACATCATTGCCTTTTATTTATTATGCAGTTGTTGATTTACATGGGGAGTTGGGAACACAAAACAAGCAAAGACTTTTACATGGTCTGTTTCTGCTGAGTTCAGAACCTTGGGAACATCATTTGACTTCTGGCAAAAAGACAGTTCCACAAAGGTGTGTAAAACCCTTTTGTTCTTGGGCCCAGGGGGATAGGTGCTTATGAGGAAAGTAGAGTTTCAACCCTTATAGAGAAGAAACTATGTTGTGTGTAGGTCATGTACAGTGTCCAAGTTCAATATTAAATGACAAATCAGGACAATTTCCTTTGAGCCATGTCTCTTCATGCTGGTGTCACAGTATGTATTCCTCTTAAAGCCTCCACCCAGTGGTATCATAGTGGTACTACAGCATTTGGGTCTACATGGTATGAATGCATAAGAGAAAATTGCATGGGTAGTGAGAGAATATAGGCAAATTAAAAGAAAGGACAAGGAGAATAAATGAGATTTTAAGGAACAAAATGGAGGGGTGTGTGTGTGTGTGTGTGTGTAGGGCCTGGTGATTTTGTTGTTTAGTGTCCCTGAGGTTTGAGTTGCCCCTCTTCATTCAGCATGAAGTAGATGCTTGTTGGTATGCGGAAGTATTGGGGGAAAATTAGAGTTCCACCTTTTGAGTCTTTTCTTCTGAGTCATGATTTTCACTCTGAAAAATGCCAAGACGATATTTAGATTTGGAGTCCACCCCTGGAAGTCCTAAATCTACCTGCAATTTTTGTCTTATGAGCTCTTTATATGGAATTTGTTTCCTATTGATATTGTACATAGAATGGTGAAATACAGAATTCAGCTCTTTTGAATAGGCAAGACCTTTCCCAAAATGCTTTTGCAGTTCTATCTCCATGACTATCTCCTAAAAAGCACCCCAACTCTGTCTACTGTGTCCTCATATACCTTTGCTCTTAGTCAAATCCAGTGGAGCCCAAAGAGTTCTTATTCAATAGGAATAATAGAGACATAGAAAGAAAGAACATTCAACTTGCCTTCCCTGTAGTCTCACACTTACCAGCCTTTTCCCTTTTAGGAATCCATCACAAAAGTTTTGCACGCCCTCTATTGAAACTTCTGTCACGTGCAGTGTATCCCACTCCTCATCTAGAGTCCGGTAAATTGCCAAAGCGGGCAGTTCAGATTTCTTTAGTTTGAAAAATGATATCACCTTCCCATTTTCCTTCACACCACTGTCCACCAGAATAAAAAGTATCTGCAGTTGGAGAAGTTTGAAAGAGAAAGATCTATCTGAGGTCCTGAGGAGATAGAGGTACCTTGTAATGGTAGCAGTTTATTCTGATTGAATTTATGGTTTGTGCCACACAATTTAAATCTCAATTGACTCAGAATGGCTTTGTTCTTGCTTTGCATTGCTTAAGTATTTTACCCCTTTGATCAGATTGATTCAATTTTAAGAACACAGACTTGGAAGATACTTCAGTGATTAACTTTAGTGATTAACTAAGTAGAGCCTAATGGTAGATTAACTTTAGTGATTAACTAAGTAGAGCCTAATGGTTAAAAGTGGAGAATAAATTTTAAATTTTGCTTCTGGTACTTTTTAGCTGTGTGACTCAGAGCACATTACTCGGCCTCTCTGAGACTCAGTGCTCTCATGGGCAAAGTGGGCTTTTGTTGGGGGAGATTAAATGAGAGGATGCATTTAGTATTTCCAGTACAGTTTTTGGCATACAGCAAGTGCTTGACAAATGTTAACTATATTTTTTATGATAAAATAAAACCCTCTACCAAAAGTAGAAATCTTCTTTATAATATTTTGGTTAGAGGATTATCTATATTCAATAACACTGAAAACTTACAGTGTTATAGAAACAACCACCAGAAAGTCAGCTTATTTAATCATCAGACAGTTCTTACCATTGAACAGGTCATGTAGTTCAATATAGTAACCTTGAAGGTGTTGAAGTTTTCCTTTTAAGTGATATTAAATAGAATTGCACAGAGTAGGGAAGAGAAATAAATAAATATTTATTATCCATTAGGCACCAGGTACTGGACATTCATTAAGCACCAAGTACATGAAAGGTGTTCGATATGAGAAATAAGTCCTGAGGTCTAAAAATGTAAGGGATCATGGCAAGGAGAAAAATATTGTAGTACATAGGTGATTTTTATTTTCACTTCTCAATGTAGAAAAAAAACAATAGACTTTACCACTAATGGAAGATATAATTATACAGGTCTTAAATAGTACAAAATATAACATCTTTAATTTTAAATCAGAGTAATGTGATTTATTATGTCCCAGTTAATATTTTATCTCTTAACCATACTAGTTTTCCTTATTTATCTCACTTCCCTAACCCCGTCTGCCTTTTTCTACTGGCCTGGTGCTGAGTTTTCAAAAGGATATCTCCCAAAGAAGACTTACCTTCCCCTGGAAGAGCTTAGCTGCCTTGTGGTATCTGTGCAAGCTTTCTTCATACTCTGGGGAGGCCTTGTCCATCATCAGGAGAAGATGAATCTGAACCATGCTATTAAATAGGCCAATCACAGTCTGGCAAATTGAAATGCATTATAGTAGAATGAAAGAGAGAGGGAGAAAGCAAAAACCATTAGTGGTCACCCAGGGACTAGGCGAACTACAACATAAATGAGAGTTGTTCATCCATAACACAAATGGTAACTAGTCTCTAAGATGGCTGACAGTAAGGTTCACCCTCTGGTTCTCATGCAACTGTGCTGATCCCTTTCCCCCACACCGAGTAAGGCTGAGTGGAGTAACCAAGGGCATATTGCAGAAATGATGGAGTGTGACTTCCAATGTTGTCATAAAAGACATCATGGTTTCTGCCTTGCTCTTGCTAATATTACTCACTCTGGGGAAAGCCAGCCCCAATGTTGGAGAGATCCACAGGGCAAGGGACTGAGGCCTCCTATTAACAGCCAGCACTGATTTGCCAGTCTTTTGATCCAACCATCTTGGAAGCAGATCCTCCAGCCTCAGTCACATCTTCAGATGACATTGCCTCCCTGATCAATGATTGTAACTGCACAAGACACCCAATTCAAAAGCAGAAATATCCTACCTAGTTGCTCTCTCTCAGTCTAGCCACTCCCAGACTGTTGATCCACAGAAACTGTGTCTAATAAATTTTTACTGGTTTAAGCTGCCAAGTTTGGGGATAATCTATTATGTATCAATAGACAGCAGATATACCATGTACTATACTAGTCACTTTGACTACATATTAGTAGTGCATTCTTTGAGTGCCTATTATTTGCTGTGCACTGATTTCAGGTTTCTACATAACAACTTATTTAATCCTCTAAGTCCCAGTTTCATAAATGAGAAAATTGAAGCAAAAACTCTACCAAAGTCACATAAGTGGTGGACTTGGATTAATGCCAAGCCAGCTGACTCCAGGGTCTGTGCTCTTAACCATCAGGATGTACTGCCTCATCCACAGCTGATTACAAAGCCCCAATCTGAACCAGTTCAACCCTCAGTGTGATTGAATCGGTTTACTTTGGGTCAGCAATACAATGAGCTTTTCAGGAGATCAGAGGTGTTGGCCCCTTTTTGCTGACTCACCAGGAAGCTGTCAGTGATGAAGGGGGTGGGATAGCCCTGAGCCAGAGTGAGGAAAGGAGGGGGTGAAACCAGGGCACTGCTTCCCTTCATTTCACTTTCCTGAAATAGTGCTACAGGTGTCTTTGTTTTAAATGAATCCCATTCCTTTCCACATCTTCCTTTAAAATACAGAAAGCATTGCTGTAAAACCAGCACATACACAGGAAGGGAGAGTATGGGGGTTAATGAACCATTGGGCAGAGTCCCAGGACGGTGGGAGGGGGAGCAACTAGGTAGGATCTTTCTGGAAGCTGTACATTGCTCCGTAGAGATTCTCTAGGTCTCTTGGCCAACATGTTGACAAAGGAGGCCCAATGAGTTCTTTTCCCCAAATTTCTCCCTATAGTTTAAAACCAGTTCTTAGATTTAAAGTTGGGGAGACTTGGTGTTAAAGAATTGTCTTTTGTTTGATTAGATTCTGCTACTTGAATTTAGAGCATGCATCTATCCTCCTAGAGCATACATAGAGGATGATTCTTGGGAAGAGTCAAGAAATCAAAACTAAGGAGTTAAAAGGTACCGTTGTCTTAGCAGAAGGGATTGGACATATCAGAAGTGATTAGTTTAATTCTAATAGACACAGCCTGGTTTTTCGCCTTGAAGCCAAGGATTGAGTATGTGCATTAAAAGTGCATGGCAGGCCAGACACATGGCTGGGAGTTTCTGTCCAGTTGCTACTGGTGCAAACCTTGCACTGGAAACAGCTAAGACATAGCTATGTAGTGTGGGCAGGTCTCTAAGTGAGAAAAGTACTACTTTTGAGAAATGAAGACGTTACAATAAAAGTTAAACTTGCTTCTCTAAAGAAATTCTTATTTAATTTCTTCTTGATGTGGATTGCCTTCACTACTAATGTGAAACTTAAAAAAAAAGGGTATTATTCTCTAAGATAAGAGATGGACTGGGCATAAGAACTCAGGAAGGCTAGTCTTTGCCCCTGCCTTAGTTAGCCTGCAGAACTCCAGGACCCTGAGCCCATAAACTCAGAGACCATAAAATCAAATTTCCTGGTTCCACATGCACTCTTGGAATCTCTGTAGACACAATGGTGAGAACGACGATGGTCGAGAAAAACGCCCTTTTAATTATTGCTGCCAACACACCCTGGGTGCACGTGTTTGAAATCTTAGCAAACGTGGGAATGGAGTCACCACTCCATGGAGACAAACATGGTGTGAGAGGGGGGCAGGAATTTAGTCAACAGGAAAAGGGGTGTTTTCCACTGAAGGCTGTGTAGGGCAATGGAAAAAACACAGGAATCAGTCAGACACAGACAGACCAGTCAAGAGAAAAGCAGGGGCAAGTGCAGAGGGCTGTCTCTGAAGCTCAAATTGCTAGGCATATGGCTTTGAGGAAATTACTTCACTTTTCTGAATTCCCATTTCCTGTCCTGTAAAATGGAAATAGACAATGTGAACGAATGCATCATGAATTAAAGTTTCTGCCTTTAATTATGCCTTTTCTACTTACTATGTGATCTTGAATAAGTCAGTTGGATCTTGAATGTTCTGCTCTATAAAATGGGCATAATAATTCCCTCTCTTCTACCTCAAAAAATCAATGTAAGGATCAAATGAGAATATGGAGGGAAAGGGCATTGTAAATTCTAAAAATCATGACATGCACATAAAATACTGTGATTAGAGAATGCACAGCAATTCTAAGCTGATGTAGATCACTAGAAATTAATACTCCATCACTCCATGATCTCTGTCAGGGAAAATAAAAGTCAGGTCATATAAAGTAATTCTATAAGCTGTAGAGTGTTAGAAGGCCAGAAGATTATGAGGACAGGTTGACCAAAACCTTTACACAGGCTACATACAGCATGCAACACTACGAGAAAACAAACCTAGAAAGAAAGCTGAGCCATCATGAGGATCTAGGTACCCTCAAACCCATGAGGTTCTGGGTTCCTGCAGGTGGTGCCAGACCAGGAACTGTTAAGTACTGGCCCACCAGGAGATAGGCACAAAAAATGAGAAGAAGTGCATAAAAAGGTTTATAGAAATTTTATATAACTGTGGCATCTAAATATGTGACCAATTGGCTTTATTTTAAAAGTTTTTGCCTATTAATTTATTTTATTGCATTTTACAAAAGCATTGGCTCCTGATGCTGTAGGGGAAAAAATTAGACCTTCAGCACAGATTGCAATCTTGTTTGGGGAGTGTGGTCTAGAGTGTTGCTGGGATCAGAGTTGCCTTCATGGAACACTCTCAGGCAGCAAAACTCAGAGGTTTTAAATCAGTCACCTTAACTTTGCACTGTGGCTCTCTTCCTTCTTTTTTTTTTTTTTAATATATTTTATTGATTTTTACAGAGAGGAAGGGAGAGAGATAGAGAGTTAGAAACATCGATGAGAGAGACCCATCGATCAGCTGCCTCCTGCACATCTCCTACGGGGGATGTGCCCGCAACCCAGGCACATGCCCTTGACCGGAATCGAACCTGGGACCTTTCAGTCCGCAGGCCGACGCTCTATCCACTGAGCCAACCAGTTTCGGCTCTCTTCCTTCTTAATCATGTGATAGGGCATTTAACTTTTCTGCTTCTTTCTTTCTTGAAAAGGGTCAAGTCTCTCAACCTGAAAGGTGTAGTAAGGATGACAACATAAAACAACTAGGTGTTCAATTGATTGCAGCTATTATTGGTCAAAGGATCAGAAACCTGAAAGAAAAGATCTCTGCTATGAAGACAAGCCCATCCCCCTCTCTACCTCCCCCCTCCCCCCCCCACACACACACAGGGACCTTAGGACTATTGTTTACCACAGGGTTGTACTCTGTCACAAAGTGGAGACTGTTGATCTCTATAAAACGGCTTAATCTGGTGTCATCAATGTTTTCAATGGCTTCACTCTCTAAATTCAGTTGTTCATTATCCACCTGCATAACACAGAAATAATAATTGTCACTGGTCTGTCTTTATTTGTTCATTGACAAATGTTTCTGGAATATCTACCACGTGACAGGCACTGACTACAGCTCTCAAACCAGAAAGGTAAATAGGAAATGTTCCCCTGCCCTGAAAGAACACCCTGTCCTGTGGGATACAAAGTGAACAGACAGGTCCCCACAGGGAGGTAGTTAGTGTCATCACAGTGGAATCCACAGAGCCTATGTGTCCTCTTGAGGAAGAGCAGAAATTGTATTTCAGGAAGAAGGGAACCTCCCATTCGAAGGCTACATTAAATGTGGACATATAGAATATCTTATCAATCCGCTCAAAATGGTAAAATTGCCGTGCCTAGTTCCTTCCTGAACTTTGGTTAATTCACAAGTGTATTTTTATAATTTGAAAGTAAGATTTTCTGGTTATTTACTTGTTATTAATTTCCAGCTTAAGTTTTACATTTTATATCTTTTGTCAACTTCTCTATATATTATATATGTCCTTAAAATTGTGTATATTCTACAGTTTTTGGGTGTACTATTCTGTATATGTACCTGTGGTCACATGGTTAATTGTATAGTTCAAGTTATCTCTATTCTTATTGATTTTTAAAAACCAGTTTATTCAATTAGAGAGAAATGTTAAAATCTTCCACTATGATTATAGATTTAACCATTTTTCTTACAATTCTGCCAGTTATTCTGTCTGTATATTCTCAGGCGATGCATCAGATTAATGCAAATTTAGAATTCTTAAAATTTCTGGGTAAGTTGAAACTTTATCATTATGAAGGTCATTCTTTATCTCTAAGGATGCTTGTTGCAATGGCTACTTTGTCTAATATTAATATACTTATTCCAGCTTTCTTTTGGAAATGTTTGCATGGTATATTTCTATCCTCTTTATATTTTACTTATATTACTGTGTCATTATGTTTAAAAATAATGTATCCCTTATAAAAAGCACAGTTATATTTTAAAATCCAGTCTATATTTAATTGGATTCTTTTTGTAATGTAATTACTATATTTAATTAAATATTCATTTCCCATTGGCTCTCCCAGTTCCAAATTCATTTGATTCATTTCTGGCCTATTTTGAATTGGTTGAGTGCTTTGTATTATTCCTTCTTTCCCTTTATGGGTTTGGAAATTGCACAGGCTTTAATTATTCTTTTAGGGATTACCAGCTTGCTTTCTACAATATGCATTCTTTACTTACCTGAACCTAGTATTAATTGGAAATTTTACCCTCTTCTTGGACAATGTACAGTAGAACATTTTAGCACAGTTTGACTCTTTCCAACTCCACTCCAGTTGTGTTTTAACTCTAAATCTCACAAGACATTATCATCATCCTATATAATAAAAGGGTAATATGCAAATCAACTGGTCACTATGACATGCAGTGACCAAGAGGGGGCAGATGCTCAATGCAGGACCACAAGCTGGGCTGACGGCTGGCGAGCGCAGCAGCATCCGAGGCAGCACTAAGGAAGTCTGACTGCAGCTTAGGCCCACTCCCGGGGGGCGGGCCTAAGCCGCAGTCAAATATCCCCCAAGGGCTTCCAGACTGCTAAAGGGCACAGGCTGGGCTGAGGGGACCGCTCCCCCTCCCCCAGTGCACAAATGTTGTGCAGCAGGCCTCTAGTTGTTATATAGTCAACATACATTTACATTCATGCATATATTTACATATTGTTTCTTTTCATTTCTTCCTGCATTTTTGAGCTTTGCTTCTATTTGGAATTTTTTCTCTTAACCTAGAACACATTTTGATATTTCCTTTAGCATGAAACAGTTCTGTTAGTTGACATAGTCTCTCAGTTTTGGTTGTTTCAAATATCTTTAATTAACCTTTGTTTTTGAAGGCTATTTTAGCTGGGTGTAGAATTCTAAGTTGACAATTTTCCTTCAGTTTTTTGCAAGATATAGTTCTTTATATTCTGCATCCCACTCTTTCTTTTGAGAAGTCATCTGTGAACCTTAATATTACTTCTTTGAGATTACTTTGAGGATAATTTCTTTTCTCTGATTTAAGATCTTTCTTTTTTTCTTTGAGAGTCAGCCATTTTATGATATGGCTAAGAGAAGATTAGCCATACCATATATAATATATGTATGTCTGCAAGTGTATGTATATTTTTATATTCATATTTGATAATCTTAATCTAATTTCAGGAATTGAGATAACTTGAATCTGTGCTGCACCCCTTGGTTCATTGTTATCTTTAGGGTATTGTTCTTTAGCATCTAAGTGGAGCAAAGGGTATTTTATTAGATCTACCTCCTACTTCCTCTTCTGAGCTCTGGACTTCAGCATTTACTTTTAGGGCTCTTTGAGGGTCTCAAAAATGCTAATAAAGCTTTAAGTCTCTTGACTGCTTCTTCCAGAACTTGCAAAAGCCTCCCAGATGAAAAGCACCCCAAATACATGATTTACCTCTTGAGTTTCCAGCGGTTCTCAACCTGTGGGTCATGAACAATGAAAATACATCCTGCATATCAGATATTTACATTATGATTCATAACAGTAGCAAAATTACAGTTATGAAGTAGCAACGAAAATAATTTTATGGTTGGGGGTCACCACAACATGAGGAACTGTATTAAAGGGTCGAGGCATTAGGAAGGTTGAGAACCACTGCTTCTTGATAATTCTTTAAAGCCCTTATTTTCTGGCCCAGCTTTTAAAAAATTGTCTTTGGTGGAAGAGATTGTTTAGTTACTGGATCTATTATCCCAGATTTGGTGGAGGGCTTGTCTAGTTACCTGATCTAGTATCCCAGATTTACATGTTTGAACTACCTTTCCACCATACTCAGATATATTAAAAGATGGAGCTTTCTATGGCCAATCATTGTTCCCAGATTTTCTCATTCATCTCCCCCAGTCTATTCATGCACATAAAACCACAAGGTAATGCTTCCATCACCCATAGCAACCATGTCTACAAATAAAAATAATCACGCCGAAGCTGGTTTGGCTCAGTGGATAGAGCGTCGGCCTGCGGACTGAGGGGTACCAGGTTCGATTCCGGTCAAGGGCATGTGCCTCGGTTGCGGGCACATCCCCAGTGGGAGATGTGCAGGAGGCAGCTGATTGATGTTTCTCTCTCATCGATGTTTCTGACTCTCTGTCTCTCTCCCTTCCTCTTTGTGGAAAATCAATAAAATATATTAAAAAATAATAATAATCAGGGCTAGGTCCTGAATAATTCTGTTTCCTAAAACAGTTTGGGCCACTTTTGAGATCCTTGGGCTATCAACCCTTGGAATCTTTTTTACCTCTTTCCCTTACATCTATTATCTTATATAGGTTCTACCCAATCAGATCTTGCCAAGGATCAGAATCATTCTTAACCTCAAATTATGTTCTCCCCAATCTATCCAGTAAAGCCAAAGGTAAGTATTATTTTAGTTTATAAATGAGGGAATTCAAGCAAAGGTAAATTAAAGTCACTGAGCAGTAAGAGTCTAAGTTTGTTTTTTAACTCTATTGTTCGTTTTTTAACTTCTTTTGTTCAAGCTGGCTTCCCATTGAGTTAGTTAAAAACAATATGGACCTCCAAAAAGCTCAATGCACTCTTTATGATCAATTTTATGAATTCTTGGAATATCTGGTCATTCTTTTATAATCTATTTGTTTACAAATTATTTGTTGAACGCCTTGTATATGTTAGGCACTGAGGCACAGACATGTTGACATTCACTCAAATAGCAATTTAATCACTTAATTCATGAAGGGTGTAAGAGATCTTTCCTTCCTATCTTTACAATGTTTTTTTTTTCCAGTTTCTTCGTATTTTATTTACTTTTTATTCTATTTATTTAAACTAAAAAGGTCCAAAACCAGTTTAAACACTGTTTTTTAATCACTTTATTTTACTGATTTTGGGAGGGGACTGTTTTCACAACTTCAGTTTATCAACTGAATGCTGAGGTGCAGAAAAAAAAATCATCAAAACCACAGGATATTTTAATTGCTTTAAAATCCATAAAGTTCTGAGTAGAAAGCTCAGGGCAGAAATATACAAGCAAGAGAAAAAGTCTTCTTAGGTGGAGTCCTTGCCCACCCTACTACCATTCCCATCCCCAAGTCAGTAAGAGTGAGGAGAGAAATAAAATGAGCTCATTGATCTTTGCTGCTTAAGGCTGGGTTTGCCAGCTGGCATGTCTTTCCTACTTAGGTGTGTGCTAATTACAAACATCAAAATCATCATCATTATATATCAGGGCCTTTTTACTACTTA